GGGGGGGGGGGGGGGCTGCTGGTGATAGACAAAGAAAGCACGCCGGTATGTGTTGACTGTCTGTTCGTGGTCGGGCTTCTCGGCCTGAGGGAGAAGGGATAAATAAGGGGCTGGGTGGGGGGCCCGGGGTCAACAACGGAAGAAGAGTACATAGTTTACGTGGTGTAGATAGAAGCGCACGGATAGATGGATGGGTTGTTGCGGCACTGGTACGCTGCTCTCGACCAACCAACGGCGCCGAGCAAATACATTTACAAGTGCAACAGTGACGCTCCGACGCCGTGGCAACGATAGCAGGACACATGTCCCGACCGACCCGGCCCCGGGAAAAAACGCAGCACGAATCTACCCGTAGGCGACGAGATACGTCACACCCGCCGCCCCATTCTTCAAAGCTCGATTGCTCCACAGCAACAAAACACTGGTGGCGCCCAAAAATGGCGGGAGGCGTTGGAACCGGCTCTTTTCCCCCAAAACGTATCGTTCGTTTCGCACATCCCCCTTCGTCGTGGAGTGCCCTACTCGAGCTTTGAAAATCGGTGCAAGCGGGCGTGGAGTCTTACGTCGCCTACGGTACGCCCCTCGGTTACATCCCCCCGGCGGGCGCGCAGCAGTCCGTCAAGTGTGCGTGTAGGTGGACCCTCGCTCTCTCTCTCTCTCTCTCTCTCTCTCTCTCTCTCTCTCTCTCTCTCTCTCTCTCTCATCTCATGACCACCAAAGTGGACAGAGAGGCGGCCGGCCCTACTATGACCAAAACTTCGTTTCACCATGAGTACATACGGAGTACGTACGTTCGAAGACGGACCTCCTGTCTTCCGCCAACACAAAAAACGAAAGACAGATATCGTCACTGTTTCGCCGTCCACGAAAAACGAGCGAAACGGCTCCAACACACGTCAACACGTCGTCCTGTCGCTACAGCAGCGGCCCCCGCTTTAAGGGACACCAACGGTGGTTGTGATTCCTAGAAAAAAAAGGGTCGGTAAAAGCAAAGATGTCGGTTGTCACTCTCTTGACACCTTGTCCAACGGGGTATTTTGGGCAAACATGCTAGTCATAGTATAGGCGTCTGGTGCTCGACGGCTGTCAAGGTGCGACAACCTACATCTTTGATGAAAGACGGGGAGGGGAGGTGTCCTCAAAGCTGTACCATCTACCTACCTAACTTTGATTTTCTTTCTTCCGCGGAGCACCACGGCTACTGCTGCGTTCCCGAAAATAGTGGTGACGCAAAACGCGAACAACGTTGTCCTCAAGGCGGGGACGATGACTGCACTACCGTATACGACACAAGATAACACACCCCCTGGACCGATCTTCAAAGCTCAATTTCTCAAACAGCAGAAACAGTGGGGGTGTCGAAACCGGCGGCGTTGAAACCGTCTCGTCGAGAGCTTTCCGAAAATAAATCGTTTCGTTTATGCATCCTCTTCGTCGTGGCGTAATCGAGCTTTTGAAAATCGCTCGAGGTGGGTGTGTTATCTTGTGTCGTATACGGTACACCTCAGCACGACTCTCATACCCCGAAGAACGCAACTGTCTCTCTGCAATACGTTGAACCGAGCGTGCGTGGGCCCAGACTCACATCTAACTCCATCCTCGCTGATGGCCGTGTCCTCTTTGTAGACGTCCACCACGCAGCACGGGCAATCCACTAGATCGGGCAGGTCCTCTCCCGGGTTCTTGTCTTGCCACCGAGGGGTGTTGAAGAGGCAGAAGCGGCACGAGTCCGCCGAGCCTGAACCGGCACAACCGGCAGAACCAGAACCAACCAGTAGCAGAGCAGCAGAGACAGAAGAAACAAGAACAACAACAACAACCAGCAGCAGCGGCCGAAGAAGAAGAAGAAGCATGAGCGCGGCAGCAGACAAGAAGGACAACAAGCAGCAGCGGCCGAAGCAGAGGAAGATGAGCAAGGACTAGCAGCAGCAGCAGCAGCAGCAGCAGCAGCAGCAGAAGGTGCAGCAGTGCCGTCAGAGGACGGATGGACAAACTGCGGCGGCGAAACCAAGTCAAATCGGGAAGCTCGGCTTTGGGGAGGTGCACACACGTGACGGGTATACCCCAATTACATAACCTCAACCGCCACGACCTTGGTGCATGCAATTTACGATAACGAACTTTTCTGTTGAGGCGGCCCAAAAGGCAATCGCAGTCTCAGACGAAGAACAAACGATGACCGTAACCTGAATCGAATCGAATCGAAGAACCGGAAATGCGGCGCACTTGTACGTAGGGAGGGTTGTTTGCTCTCTGTTGCTTCTAGTTCTACTGCTGTCGAGACGCCAGCGGTCCGTTTCCGAGAGTGGAACGACTCAAAAGAGACAGTGTCAGAGAGAGAGAAAGAGACGGAGAGAGAGAGAGAGAGCCGTGTCCTACGCGTGAGAGAGCAGCGCCATAGAAAGAAAACTCCGCTCGCGTTCACCAACTCGTGGGTATCTACTTGTATCTCTTCCCGGCGAGCGTCCTCGGTCCAAGGAATTGCAAAAAACAAGAGGCGGGAGTGTATCCCACAAAAAAAAAAGAAATAATCTATGTATGCATACAAAACAGGAAGCACGAGGCGCTACATAGCAGCAACATCAGAGCAGCAGCGGTCCCGCTATAATGGCGGTAGGTGTCAGCCCCTTGAACCGGCATCGTAGCGGGCAACCGGAATTTTTCAGAGCATGAAACTACTTGAAAAAAATCCGTCTGTGCCACTCCATTCCACCGGCGTCACACCGGGCAACCAGCATTTTTCAACCGGTATTTTATCGGGACCACATAACCGCAGCAGCGAAAGCGGCGGCCGTGGCGGCAACAAACTACTCACTTGGGTCGCATCCCTCCGGCAACTCCCCCTCTTCCGACGCCGTGGCTGCTGCTGCTGCGCAAGTGGGGTCGTAGTAGGAGCCCACCCCCTGGTTCGTGTGGGCGATGGTGGCGGCGGTGCTCGTGCAGGGGGCCTCTTCTGGGATCATGCACTCCTGCCCTTCCATATTGTTTCCCTCTCCCTCACCTTTCGGCGGCACGGGGGTTGGGTGAAATGAAGATGAGGACAGAGACAAGTTAGAATTTTTCAGCCAGACACAAATACAGGATAAAACAGACAGGAAATACAGAGACCAGACACACAATCCGCCGGATAACAGTCGTAGTAGGGGTGGCACCGATTCTATCAAGACAAGAGACAACAGCCACAACGACAGGTCTTTGGCCAGGTAGCTGAATTCACTGGGTGGTGAAGACGATCGGAAACAAACAAAACGCACGCACGCACACATACACACAACACCCTTGCTCTCGGCAGCGTTTCTCGCCTTCTACCTTCAACGATCGATGACCTTGTCATTGGCCGATCGGCCACGACGGTGGATACACACACACAAACACAAGACCTTCCTCCTGCTGTCGAGGCGGCCTGCGGACTAGAAATCGTGTTCGTTGCCGTTTCTTTCCGACGTGTCCTCTGACAAGACTGGCGTCTGCTCTTCTCTTTTGGCCAGCGCTACTGCTGTGTCGATGCTTACACACTCAGAGAGATCTATGCACCCGCGGTGCTATAACCGGTGCGGTCGACGCAAAACACACAAACACACACACACATACATCACTATCTCACCTGTGGACGTAGCCACCGCCGTCGGCGGCACGGTAGTCACCACGGCACCCCCGTCTCCCCCGTCCACCCCGACGCTCGTCGGCGCTGGACTCGCGAGACCCTTCTCGGTCGGCGATGGTGCCGGCGTCTCCACCGGCAGCGGCAAGACGGGCGCAGCGGTGGCGACTGCAAC